ATTGTGCTATTTAGTATTACTAAAGTTTCACGGATTTACTGTGGTCACTCTACTAAGGTGTAAACTAACTTAGCCACTAATTTCATTATCAATTTAAATTTATAATTATGCTAAGCTAAATTATTATTTTATAAGTCCTCTTATTTGACTGTTATGTGGCTAACCATCCCTGCAAGCTTCCATTTTGCTTCCTTTTCTTTCTTTTGTTTGCCCCGTGATTTTTGGAAGATGACACAAGTGAGAGAAAATCTAAAACGCTTTGGTGGTTATATCACAGGGTGGGACAATCACAAATTAATGGAACCATAAGCTCCATACTAGGTGAAAGCCCAATAAGCCCAAAGCGAGATGACTTTTCCCCCCGGACTTTATACCATAATAGTTTTTGAAATTCTTTCATATTAAAATTTTTGATTCCTTAGAGAATACAGGAACAATAGTCATAATTAAAGAACAAAAGCAGTGTGAAAGGGATTATGGTCTAGAGACGGTGGTAAAACGTCATCTCGCTTCAGGCCTATTGAGATTGAAATCCCCACTTTAGAAATGAGTTGAGGACTGGGAACGAGTTTTTATAATTATCCTAGCTAAAAAATAAACACCATACTAAGAAAGAGTACATCGACATAAGTAAATTTCTGCAGTTTCAAGATTTTAGGTTTCATACCTTTTGTGTAGCAACCTCCCAAACATCTCAAAAAATGACAAAGAAATGTTTGGTTACTGGGGACGCTTGTCCCTAGTAAACATACATTTCTTTGTCATTTTTGATGTTTTTGGTTGCTTATAAGAGGGATTAGGGAGAGGAAGGGAGGAAAGGTAGGGCCTGCAATGAATCCCCTCGATTTTTCCTACGCCCCCTAATTAAAATGCAAACTCTCAACCAATCAAATCAAAGAATAAAGTATCTGAACCAACTTCACTGACATCTGATTGGCGTGTTGAACTTATCAACCAATCAAAATTAACATTCGGATTCTGAACGCTCGATCATAGGAAAAATCTAGGGGGTTCATTGCAGGCCCTACCTTTCCTCTCTTCCTCTCGCCAGTCCCCCTCTTCTTCCCCAATCTCTAATCCCCTTCTCTTCGGGCCGCTACGCAGGCTAAATTGTTCTTTATATAATTTTTTTATTGTGAATTTATCAGATCAGAGCCAGCGTCTTCAGATTATGACCAACTACTCAAAAACATCCTGAAAGCCCTGGCAGAGACTGGCTAGACCATAGCTAGACCATAGCTAAATGTCAAATAGTGGACATACTGTAACTCTATGAAAAACATTGAAAACTTTATAAAGTAGAACATCTACAATTTATAGCATTACAATGAGGACACTGGAGCTGTGAGCACTTTTTTCAGGTTATTTCCAAAACATTATACTGTTATAACCCTTTAAAATAAAGCCTTCCAATCGATTGGCTCAGGGTGTGTCATCATTGTAGAACATCTATAGCAACAGACCTCTTTACCTTAACTTTCAGATCACCTATCATTCTTATGAGTATAATATTTTTTGTATTGTATATTCATAAGTCTTCTCATGACCAACTATTAGACAAAGATACCATACTCTAGGGAATAACACATGGTCTGAATTGGGACAAGCTATAAGGGTCAATTAAAGATCAGATAGATCCAAACAATTACTATCATTAGAAAGTAGGAAGTGAATGTGCAATATTTTATCTTTTTATACAAAGTTGTAGCCAAAAAATTATAAAGACTATCAAAATGTATTAATTATCAAACTAGAACTGTACAAAACTTTCTTGCTGGTAAAGGAAGGACCAGCTACTTGACTTGCTAGATTAATTGTCAGCTTGAAACATCCTTGAGGAAGCTGGAAAAAAAGAAGAAAACTGTACATTTAAAAACAAATGAGCAGAGCTTTACTGGAACACATGAATATTCTACAGAATATAGAGGTTAACCCCCCGTTTAGGGTAGGGATGTTCCGCTGAGACCTCTGAACCCTGACCCTGTTCCAGAGTAAAATCGCTGAAATTCATACCCTGTTCCAGAGCAAGATCGCTGAAAATCATATTCTGTTCCGGTATTGCGAAAATGGATACCCTGTTCCAGAGAGCTAGGAGAGAGCATGATTTCATATACCCTGTCCCAGAGCAAGCGTGATTTTATATACCCTGTTCCAGAGTAGAATCGCTGAAAACCATACCCCGCTTGGCGGCACGTACCTGTATAGCGAATATAGGGGAGTACCCCCCCGGGGTTAGCCCTTAAACTTTCAGAAAGTCTGTTGTCCTGGCTCTGTGTAGCTCACTGAGCAACAGAGAATACTAGACTATAGCTATCAAAATGGCTTGAAGCGGTTTGGGGTGGTAAGATGCAAGTGTTATTCTTTTTATAAAGTTGTGAAATTTATTGGGGAAACCTGCTTTATCAATGTGAGAAGAGCATTCTCATAATAAAAGATACAGTATATGGCCTGCATGAACTTTCAAACCCATGTGTCATTCTCCAAGAATTTTTTCTCACTTTTTGATATTAACTACTGTCCAAATAATATAATATAAATGGTGTTTACAGTGAGGAAACGCTCAAACAATGAACACCTTTATGCAACTTTTCTAAAATGAATACAGGTAGATTAGACATCCCTTTAGCCAATCAATGTGAAATAAAATTCATTTTTTTCACTCTGTGTACTTGATGTCAATGCTTCATGAAATAAAGACCTTTAGCATTAGGTTTAGTGCTAACCGCTAAAGATCAGGCCCAGAAACATGCCCGCAAACATAGAAACATTTAGAATCAATAAATTCCATATGACGGCTCTTACAGCAACAACTTCGTTATGATGCCTTGCTAAATGTCAAAAGTCTGACGGAAAACGCCTGACATCAAACTGCGAATCGAGGTTTGTGATACATGTACCTAGCTAGACATTGTGCTCAAGATCTTTAAATATAAATATGAAAAAAAAACTTGAAGTATTTACTGTGCCCTATAGTATAATTTAGTAAAAATACACAGGTGATTATTGAAAATCTCACTCGCTGATTGGTTGAGAAACTCAGATTATCATACGATAATCACCTCAAGTGATAATCCAAAATGGCGGCCAGCCGCTTTGTTGCTGTTACCGGAAAAAATGTCTTTTATCTTCTTTTTTTTCTTCTATTTTTTTTAAAGAATCACCTCATGTGTATTTATACTAAAACAGTTATATGCCTCAGCCTCAGTGAATATTGGAGAATATTTACCTCGCCGCTCAAAGACTTGCGTCTTGGTAAATATTCCCTGATATTCACTTCACCTTCGGCGAGGTGAATAATTGTTAAATGAACTGTAAAATATGGTTTTTGAACACTTACTTGGGATAATCAATTGATGAAATAATCCCTTTGATCTTGCTGACAAGCTCAGCATTTTCTTTGGGATTTTCTTGGAGAGACTGATGAAGTCTGCTTACAAACCCATCCACAGATGAATCTGTTGTTACAGAGACCCCTTCTTGTCCAGAAATACTAAGTCCAGCAAAGTTTTTCCTCAAGACATGTCGAAGTTTCTGCAGATGTTTTTCGAGTGTCGATATCTCTCTCTGTTGTTCCTCTGCTTCATTTTCAAGTTTCTCTATTCCTTTTTTCATGTTTTCAATGTGCTTGCTAAGAATTGCATTTTGTTCTTCAAATTCGGTGTTCGTTTTGCGGAGTCTTCGAAGTTCATTTTCTCGAACTATAATACAAGACATTCAGGTTAGTTATTCCAGGAGCATGGTCATGCATCAAGGCATGGTCTGGTTTTCAGTTTTTCTTATATATATATTTTATTTTTCTTATATTTTCCCCCCGAAAGTTGGTCCAGTTGAAACCAGACCGACTGTACCGGTGGCTACGGCCCTGCGCATCCTGTAACCAAATGAATTATAAATTCATAAATTGTATAAATTGGTATAAATTGTGTTGGATAGTGTCACAGTCACCAAAAATTTGGGACATTGTTCTCTGATTCCCATACAAATTCACTGAGTTAAAGAGAAAATTTAGATAGATTTTTTTAAAGCTTCAATCAAGCTAGAAAAATGATATTTTACTTGTATTTAGAGAACTAACTAAACATACCAAGTAAATAGTTCATTTAAAGTCAGTACATTTGTACGGAAATCCAAGAACAATGTCCAAACTTCTTGGTGACCGTAACACAATCCAACACAATTTATACTATGTGACGGCTAGCGCCAAAAAGATGAATTAAAATATGACTGAAACAAGACTATTTTTGAATACATACTAAGTAGGTAGGGTTTTCAATAAAATTTTTGGTAGGCAGTTATGAAATTGAAATAGGCGGTAAACTGGAAATTACTGGAGCATGTAATCAAGGCATACTTGTCACCAGTCTCACTCTTCTCACAAAAATTCAAGTTGGCAGACAACGATCATGGTAGTTCTGATTGCGTTGCAGTTTTCATAGTACAGCAACAAAGATTGGGTTAAAATTTATTTTAACGACTTTTATGTAAGTAAGCAGCCGAATTAGCAAGAGTAGACAGCGGAATCTGCCGGTTGCCGGCTTCTATTGAAAACCCTGAGTAGGTTTTTTTAACACCTTTTTTCAAATAGCTTTATATTCAACAACTATTCACCAAAAGAAAAGTGAATATTGGGGAATATTTTTAGATTATATTGATCTCTGCAAGCAGCACAAATCGACAAACAAGCATGTGCCAGCTATTTTCACCTGTAGGTAAATATAGCAACATAAAATGTAAATTGTGACCAATGAGCACGCTAGATTTGTTATATTAACTTATGTAAAAATATTAATAACAGTTAGTGTATGGTACCTTTGTTATAGTTAAGGAATTCTTCAGTAAATATAGGAATATCACCATCAACTGGGATTGCATCTTCAGTTGTGTCTTCCTCCTCTTTTTCTACACTTTGCTCCTGGACCCAACAAGATTGAAGTAATGAGTAACATATTTACATGTGAATTATCACAAACAAGTGAATTTTACCTTCAACTCCTAATAGGAGTTCTAAAATATTGTAAAATAACTGTTATAAATCTCACGTTCTGATTGGTTGGTAGCACGTGCTTAATGAGAGCACACAGCACGAGCATGCACTGTATTTGTATTTTATAAAAGGAATCTAAAAACTTAGCAATGACTGTTTAAGGCAGCTCAATAAATCAGCCAGTACACGAATATGTGCTTAGAAGGCAATAAGGGTGATCAATTGGAAAATAATCTGAAAAAATACTTTGACTACAGGGTATTAATACGTTATCCCCTCCCACCCTCCCAACCAATTAGTATGTAATAGGACTCCATGCTGTCCAATTAAGAAATAATCGGATGAGGAAAATTCCGAGGACTGACAAAATTGGATAATTATTTCTTGATTGGGGAGCATGAAATCCCATTACCTATTAATTATATAGCTGCCTAATTAATCCCATATCAACAAGACCTGTCCAATTAAGAAAATAATTGGACAGTTACCTATATGGGATTAATTAGAAGCTGTATGATTATAATGATAATAATAATGATGATGATGATGATAACAATAATAATAACAATAATAATTTAATACTCATATGGAGCAAATTCGCATGTGAATATGAACAAATGTGCCTATATCACATGCAACCAATGCCGTCTTTCATAGATTCTCTTAAGGTGACTGCCTACTTTTGGAAATTGATTTAAGCTTTTTT